TGTTTGTCATTAAAAATATATCCATGTCCACTACATTGATTAGAAAAAAAAAAACTTGGTATTTATTTTGTCATTAAAAGTAGATGCTTATATTTCTAATCTTTTTAATAATGTTATCACCAGTATCAATATTTTAACGTCAATGGTTTCCATAAAATTCATAATCATATACCATGTAATATTTATTTTGTGGTTTGACCATGTATTTTCCTACTTCAATTGGATTAAATCAAGGATCAACTTTAAGCTCATATTTTTTTGCTCTAGTCATGGATGTTCTTACTAGACATTTGCAAGAGGATGCACAAGGTCAACCTTAGAGTCTAAAGGTTTTCATTTGAGTAGATCTAAAACCGAATATATGGAGTGTATATTTAGTAGTAATAAATCTAGTGGGGATTGTGATTTTGGGCGATCAAGACATTAATAAGAGTACACATTTTAAATATCTCGGATCTATTATTCAAAGTGATGGTGAAATAGATGGGGATAATATTAGTTAAATTCAAGTTGGATGGTTGAACTGGAGGAATATATCGGGTTTGTGATGCAGACATTCAACCGTCCATGCCTATCCGAGGAGCTGAAGATCAACGGCTGTCATCGTCCCACGTTATCTTATATTTTATTTGTAATTTTTATTTTTTATTATAAATTTTTTGTTTTTACCCTCACTTAAGAGAATCGTCCTATGTAAGCCATAGGGGCATATGTGTCTTGTTTTAGTTTCTTAGGCCTATATATAGAGGCTCTTTCTGTGTAATGGGATGATGAATTGTTAATGAAAGTTTATTCTACTTGTTTGATCTCTTAGTGAGTTCATGAGAGGAGAATGATCTCTTTGTGAGTTCTGAGATTCTCAATATCTCTTTGTAAGTTCTTGAGGATCTCTTTGTGAGTTCTAAGTTTTCCCAAGATTTCTTTGTGAGATTTGGGGTGGAAGTACTTGAGGTGAGTAAATCCCTAGCTCTTCAAATTTCTATTCTTTTTCCCTTGAATTGATCTTCCCCATAAGCCCCTTGCCGCCGCCCACCATTGGGCCCTCCAAGCCGCCGGCCCCATCTGCCGACCACCCACCGCCGGCCTTCCTCACCATCTTCCCTTCCCCACCTCTTTAGTCGCCAGCCTCCCTCCTTGGGATTTCGAATTTGAAATTCAAATTTTCCCAAGCAACATTGAAGGCTTTCCTAAAATAACTCCATGATTTTAGGCAATCCTCTTAATTGAATTTCAATTCAAATTTGAAATCCAAATAAATTCCAATTAATTGCCCTTAGATTAGGAAACTTCCCCTTGAAAGAAAATCTGAAATTTAATTCAGATTTTTTTTTCTTAAAAGCTTTGATTAGTATGTAGGCCCCATCTAATTAAAACCCAAACCTCTCTTTCCAATACATGTGGCCGGCCCCCTTCCTTGAGCTTCTCTCTTTCATATTACATTAATTGCTCCTCTTTAATTCCCCTTAATCCCTCCCAAAACCGCCGGCCCTATTATGGGATTAAATGCATTTTCAATTTAATTTCCCCCCATCCCCACTTGATATTTGAATTTCAAATCAAATATTTTTCCCTTAAAACCACGAATTCTAATGATCACTCTTTTATTATAAACGATAATTTTATTTTGGGTTATTAAGTTTCAATTGATCTCTTTAATTTCTTAAAGTAACTCCTCCGTCGCATGTACGTTTCACATCACTCCCACTAATTGCTTCAATCAACCCCTCATTAAGGAATGAATTTCCCCCCTTTCTACGTTATTTGGGGTTTCAAAATTCAAAACCTAGCTCCTAAGACCTGCTCTAAATTGCTGTCCAATAATTTTCCACTAAGAAACTGCTATTCTGGAAACTCCGACCAGCCATAGTGCTGCCAGATCTGCTCCTATTTGCTGACCAGAAATCCCTCAAGTGCTGTCCAAGGCGTTTCTAACCTCAAAGGCTGCTGTCCAAAGTTGTTCGAGGGTCAAAATTGCTAGCCAGGCTTTCCTAGTGACCATCCAAACATCTTTAGTTGCTGTCCAGCCATCCTAGCATATTTCCTACGGCTGTCTTGCTGTCCAGAGGGTCTCCGATTGCTGTCCAGGAGGTTCCCAAACCTTGTGTTGCTGCCCACTTCTTCCCTAATACCAAAGTGACTACGCCGAAGCTCCGTATTTGTCTTTCCCTTTAGAATATTAAGCGTGCAAATTTCCTTTAAGCAAATTCATCTATGCAATTATGTTTCACATCAGTTTGTTTTGTGAAAGAAAAGAATACCTCAAACTTAAGGGGAAATTCTAAAAGATGGTGGTGAGACATGCACCTTGAGGACAAGGCGGCTCATTGGGATGAGAGTATTTATGGACTGCAGGCTAAGCTGATGGGCCCCACTAGGGCAAGCAGCAGGCAAGAAGAGAGAGGGGGAATTGTTTAGCAAAGTTTTAATAACAATTGCAAAGGAATTGTTTAGGAATGTTTTAATTATAATTTGGAAAGAATTAATTAGGGAAAGAGATCAAATTTGAACTCAAATATGAGAAGAAAATATTCATAGAAAATGGACTGATTTGGGAGGGATGAATTAAGAGAGCCTATTTAAGGCTAATTATGGGAGTGATTTCAGATTATGCTTCATATTGTTGGAATTAGTTTTGCCTAAATTGAGTGGACAGCTAGAGATTTGGGAGGGCTGGATCTTCCTCTCAAATTGAAGATCCAATTATATCTTGTGATTTTCTTCTTTGTTCTTTTAATAAAAAAATAAAAAAAATCTTATGTGTTCTTCTTCCTAAATTTCTTGTGTCTTTCTCTGGTTTTGTTGAAATTGCATCCACTTGCTATCAAGTTTCTTGTCATCTTGGTGTCATTTTTTTTAATTATTCCTTCTGTCCATACCCACAAACACTAAAAAATTATTAGATTTTGATGAATGAAGAGATGGCAATGTTGTAAACATATCATGTATCAATTTCAATTCCTAGAAATGAAGAACAACAAAAATATAATAAAATATGGTACAAATTGCTCTCCCTGAAGCAGGCTTGGCTAATTTAGTTAGCCAAGTCCAAGTATGCACCAAGGTGTCTTTGCTAAAAGAGGTTCACCAAAACCCAATTTAAGTCATGCCAAATGAATATAAAATGACCACACAAATTCATATGGGTAGACCAAGCAAAAGAGGGAGGCCAACTTAGGTAGATGCAACTTATTTGGATATGGCTAGATCATGTAACACAAAAAATTACATGGCCAATTATATGAAAATTGCATAGTACAACAAGATACATAAAGAGCACAAAGGAGACCAAAACCCATCGTTCACTCCTCTACTTTTATGTGGCCAACCTTGTCATTAAAATAATAACATTTTAATAGGTGGTTGACCAACCCTCATTAAATTAATAATTTATTTAGGTTTTGAAAAGAAAGGATTGTGTAAAGGAAAATTAGAAAAAGCAGCTTTCTAGTTAGAAGTTATCTTATTATCAGGCCTAAAACAAGGGGATGTCCACAAATCATGCTTGAATTAGTTTCAGTTAAAGTTAAGTATCACTTTTAGTTTTCTTTTAATTCTAAAAAAGACTTTTTCTGTAATTAATTTGTGATTAAATTTTATGCCCATTGGATAGAATTTCAATTATTCTTCAAATCAGCTCTCTCAAACTCTCTAGGACAACATCCTCATATTCTCTCTCAAAATAACCAAGTAGTTGTTCCTCTCGCTATCTCTCACCCATAATTATTCTTGTAGAAGCCCTATCTCTCTAATTTCTCTATCTAGCTTAAATGGTGATTCTTTAAGTTTTTTCTAAGCTAGGGGAAAAAGGACAAGAGAACTCGAAGTATAATAAGGATGAAAAACAGTAAGACAATATAGAAAGCAAGAAGGAAAAACCATCATCCAAACTTTTAACATAATTGAACCTCCAAGAAACCACAATATTGGTGAGTCTTGAAAGGTTTCAACAATTCAAGTAGAAATCCTAAAGGCATATTATTTCGCACAATTATCCCTAAAAACTACCACTAAGCTATCCCCAATCTCCATCACCGATTTTTTATAGGTATATGAACTATCTCAATCAGGATCAATGCATTAAGTAGTGCAGAATCAGGAAGATGAGGGAATAAGCATTGGAAATAGAGAGTAAAGAACATGCAAAAAAAGGCATATGCCAATTGAAGTTTAACAAGTTTCTTTAAAGGCTAGGCCACTGGAACAGGCCAAACCAATTGGTTCATACTAAACTCTTTCTTTTTTTTTATGTACGTAAATGTTCAAACTCATAAAAAAGAATAGGTAACTGAGTATATAAAAATTTTCAAAATAACTAGTTTAAGCCCACCAAAAAAGAGAGAAGCTGAGATAAGATATGCTAACTTAAATTCAAAAACCTAACTACCATATGGACTCTTTAATTTTTCCAAGCAGATCTCATGTGTATTACATATGTTATATAGCAAAAATGTAGTCTTGTTTCTTGGGCGATTTTATGTGATAATATTTGGTGTAATGCAATAACATCACTAGTAATTTGTTTACTAAAAACCAAAAAAATAATTGAGCAAACAAAGTAAGTTATAATGTATTCTATTGTGCATTAAATCTTCAGAAAGTCATATGAAGAACAAAATTAAACCTAATGGCCATCACTTTATGATTAACAATCAATAAATGTAGTAAAGTTTCAATGAAGCTAGTTTATATAACTATTTAAAGAATAGAGACCCATTTTCATTTAAAAAAAGGAAGAGTATATTAGGCAGTATATTAGGCAATGAATGCTTCATTAGAAGTTCCTTCTAATAACTTCATTTAAACAGAACCTCATAACAAAATGTTCATGCCCAATTCATGCTTTTTAACACTAAGATATAATAAAATTTTATCAAAAGGGTCAGAATTAGTGACAAAAGAAGTAAATTAATGATCAAATTTATTACTTACACTGAAAATATAGGAGATAACATGATAGAAATTTGAAAACAGCAATCATACATCAAATTCAAATAACTTACTAGAAAGAGAAGAAAGAACTTATAATTTAATGCTCCAACACAATTGACAACCCACACACAGTGGTGATCCATCTTCAGAACACATCTTCCACCTGATAACAGAATCATGAATCAACTTAGAGAAACAAATAAATAATGAGAGTGCGGGACGACAAATATAAACAATGGAGGACTGATTTTGTCTTATTAAAGTTAGAGATCTCACAGACAGAACAGTGATGACACCGTGGTGGCTTAAATTGGTTACACTTCCGACAAAACCTGATCCTTGGATCTCCAGGGTCTGAAATTAATGTAGATTGGTGCATAGTTAAAATAGGGTTGTTGAAGTCTGAGGCAGACAATGGGGCACCTTCTCCCACCTCCTCATCCACAGAAGGTCTCCAATTAGGTGGAACACTGCCAGGATCCGTAAGGACAACAGAAAAGTAACTCCACAATAGCATTACCAACTGCAAAGCCAACAGCAGCACTCCATTAAAGCAAAAGCAAATGAATTCCAACCTAGCTTGTCTTTTCTTTCTCTTATCTGTATTTTACTCCATAAAGTCAGAATTACCAGCTGTTCTAGAATGAAATTTCTTGGAAAGCTGTTTAATTTTCCTTGGTAAAATTCAGAAAACGCAAAAACTAAAGAATTGAATCAGTACAGTTACAAAATAGAAATAATGCAGGTCAGCTCCTTTAGGTTCCACTTATATAGATGAGCTTAAAACCACAAGCAACAGGCCAGACGAAAAATTGAATAAACGATGGCCACTCCGAAATTCCGAAATGAAATCAATGTGACAAAAAGAAGCATCAAATAAAAAGCAGTTGGATGACTCTTTGACGAAACAAGAAACAAGTGAAGGATTTAGGAATTCATCAGACCAGGCCATGGAAGAGCACTAGAACCACGAGGGCTGTCAGAGAACCGAACCCTCCGGCGGTAAATAGAGCCGGACCGTAGTTGCTGACCACGACGGCGTAGTAGGTCACGCCGACGATGCCGAGGACCATCAGAATCATCACTGACCCAAGGCCACGAAGGGCCGTGCAAAACTTAAAGACATTCCACGCCATCAGCGCTCCGGATCTGTGCATCACGACAGTGCCCGCGAGGAAGAAGAACCCTGATCGAAAGAGAGGAAGAAGGAAAGTCACCCTCCCTCCAAAGAGGTCTGGAGGAGGTGGAAGAAGTCCTGCTGCGGGTTCCTTTTCTGGCAAATATAAAAGGGTCGGGAACCTTACGATATTTATTACATGATAATTATAATTGAGCAGATATATCTTTTTTATTTTGACTTTAATAATAATATAATTATAAATTGGGAGCATTAAGTGCAAGCGAGTAAAATTTAATGGGTTGATTTTAAATTTTTATTTATTTATAATTATAATACAATTTCATTATTGAAAATAACTTATATTTATAATAATTTAGTATCATCAAATTTTAAAATTTATTTTATATATGAGAAGATTTATTTTTTAATGTAAATTTAAAAATAGCAACTCATAATATCTCATATTAATTATGTTTGAAGAGAAATTTGATTAAGAGATTTAGAAATTAAAAATAATAGATAAAAAGAAAGCTAAATATATTTTTAAGTATAATAAAGTATTACACATTAGTCTGATAATTTGATAATAAAATTTTCAACGTACACTTTATAAAAATATATTAATATTAAAAATAAATATGTTTATAAGATCATATTTGATATATCATCAAAAAATTATCTGATCAGCACGAATCTCGAGGCAAAATCAAGTTGAAAACTTCAAAAATTAAATCAGAGACCGTCAGAACTCTAATTTCAGCAAACTTATAGTTGAATTGAACGTCTTGAAAAGATAAACACAACAACAAATTCGACTCAATCCGAGCCAGAATGAGTTCAAATCAAGGGCACAATGTGCTGCTATAGGGTTTGAATCACAATTTGGATTATCAAATGGTTTCCAAACATGATATGCTTATAATTGAATCGAGTGGCTCGATGAGACGAATCCAACGAGCCCAATATCGCATAATTCTGACATCATTAAGGCCTTTAAATATCTAACAAACGGTCCATGATCAAGAGATTCAACATCGGTCGTCCATCCAAACCACTCAACATTTGCCCTTGATCCTCCTCCTATTTACGGGCCATGCCACTTTAGGAAATCTATAAATAGACCCCTCATCCCTCTTGAAAATAGGGCTCCAAGCAAGAAAGCAATAGAGATATCGGAGATCGATCTTACCTCCTCACTCCTCCTCGACCACCGCTCGTAGTTCCCCTGGACCGCCACTTAAGGCCCTGAGCTCCACTGGACTTCCGTCAGACCACCACCTGAGGCCCGGAGTTTTTTCGGACCACCACTTGAGACCTGGAGTTCTACCAGAGGCCCGAACTTTCGCCAGACCATCACCTGAGGCCCGAAGTTCTGTCGGACCACCACATAAGGCCCCGACTTCAGCCAGACCACCACCTGAGGCCTGAAGTTCTGTCGGACCACCACTTGATGCCCGGAGTCTGCATGACCACCACATGAGGCCCAGAGTTCTACCGGACCACCACCTGACACCCAGAGTTCTGTCGGCCCACCACTTGAGGTCTGGAGTTCTGCATAACCATCACTTAACACCTGGAGTTCTGCCAGACCACCATCTGAGGCCCAGACTCTTCCGGATCACCACTTGAGGCTTGGACTTCTGTCGAATCAACACCTGAGCCTGTACTTTTGTCAAGCTACCACCTGATGGCCCAGAGTTCTATTATAGTATCACCCTACTACTATAGTCTTTTTGAACATAGTATTCTGCCAACTAAGGTCTTTCAGACTACTGTTTCCTACCGACTACATTCCTTCGGACCTCCATCGCTAGACAATGATCTTTCTGACCTACATCGTCTTCTACGATCTTTCCGACTCTATCCTATCAACTATCGCCCTGCTGACCAAACAAACATCTATGTTGATTATTGTAACTCCCACCATGTAATGCACTCTATGACATCGAGCCAAGACCTGCTCCCAAGGAAGAGCCTCATTTGTAATCGACTGCAAAGACTAGTAGAATCATTCAAACTGGGTCAGGTCCTGTGATTTTTCCCCATTTTCAGGAGTTTCCACGTAAAAACTATGGTGTCTCTTATGAACGCTACACCATCTCTCTCATCTGCTTGTGTGTTGAATCTTCGTACAACGCTAAGAAGTCAAACTTTATATATCTATACCACCGCGAATACTATAGGATGCAACAATATTATTTGATAAATTTTATTTTATGGCATTTTGTGCTCTAAGAAGATTGATTATTCTCTTTAAATTATTTATCTTAAATTTAAATGTAGTATATTCTCACATATTTAGTTTACTATTTCATAATTTTATTATAGCCAACTGTATTTTCTTCTTGCGTGTATATAAAGATTACAAAATTTCTCTTGTATAAATGATAAATTTTAAATTTAATTTAAGAAAAAAAAATGTAAATTATTTTTCATTATAATTGTCTTCCTAAAACTATTATTATGTCTTATATCATTATCACCATATGTTAGTTCTGTGTGAAATTTGATTGTGGTGATCAATTGAGTTGTTATGTTGTCACGGACCTCTGTTCAAATCACAGTGTTCACTGGAGGTGCAAGGGCTTTACCCCCTGCTTGGGTTCGGGTGCAAATTTTTTTTCGTACTACACCTCGGTGTTGTGTACCCATGTGCTTCAAAGCTAATCGACAAAGAATAGAGTGCTGGAACGCTCAAAATTCGGTGCCACAATATTTTTTTTTTAAGTTTCAGTGCCACAATGTTGTATAACACAGTAGCGTTGCTGGTTTTAGCATCATCAAATCATGGTGACAGAGCCTTGAGCGCCATAGTGCTCCAAATTGACGCCGCAGCTCTACGAGGCGAATTAAACAGTTTTATTTCTCATTTTTTAAGGGTTGTGTCCCTTTATTTTATTAACTTGACTTTCTCTTGTGTTTTAAGTATGAGAACGGTGTAAGAGAGAAGAGAACCAAGGAGAGAGTGAGAAAGAATATATATTTATACTTATTTCTCTCAATTTTTTTTTGTGGATTTGTGTGGTGTGAGTCTGTGATTTTTTTTTCCGATTTCAAGTTTTTATGGGTTAAATTTTGGTGTCATTTACTTTCCGTTGCTTTTACATTCTTGTTTGCTTTGTCGTTGTGGTTTACTTCCATCCCCAACACCAAATAATATCAAAATTGTTGATGAAGTGAAATCTTATACATCTTATTTTTATAAGATATTTTATAATAAGTTATTTAAAATTAAAATTTAGACTAACAAATAATAAGCAAATTATATGGTGTTGTATATGTGACGGACCAAGATCTAACTATAATGATTATCCTTAATTCTAATTTATCTCATCAATAATCAGCATTTAGAGCCAAAAAAACATCCAATTACAATAAACATAAACACATAGAATATCATTCAATTTCTTTCATATCATACAAATAATCATGTACAACAATTCAATATAATTTTTTTCATCATATCAAGCCTATTTCCCAAAACTTCTTTATACATTTACTTCGACCTATATCTCAACTTAATCATATTAGCTTGATTCCCCTTCTAACTCTATTTCTATTTATACTTCCACTTATTCATCTCACATCTATTCATAGTAGATGGAGGAATTACAAATAGCTTGATTTTGAGATTTTCCTTATAACTTCACTTCCACTTGTTCATATCATATTTATTTATGACAAATGGAGGAATTATATGTGTGCATAGAGTCTTATAACTCTACATATATCGAATAGAAGATAAAACAATCACCGCTTGTATCACCTCCATTTTTTTCCACCCTCCTCCACATTTCCTCTTACATATAAACATAACATATTAATTTCATCACATAAACATGAAATAACAGCATATTCAATATGTACGAGCAATATTTAAAATAATACACACACATATATAATTGTACATGTATGACAATTTTAATTGTATGGATGAGGTAAATTTTGTATGCATATTCAACTCTAATAATTTAGAAAACCATTCACAAGAAGTATTCATAACATTATTTTAAAATATTTATTAGATTGTGGTAATTTCTAAATATATCATCATACTCATAAAAATACTTGAAATATTGCATGAATTAAATCACCTAGTGAAATTTTATGTTTTTCTTATCAATGTTATTAAACTATTCAATTCAACAGTATACAAAAAATCAAACAATAAAAATTTGTAAATCTTCATAAATTTGCATTTCTGTCAATCTAAATCAAGCAAAACTCCAAAAACACCCTCACTAATAGCTAAATTAAAATCTAAAGTAGGGATCAGTAATCTATCTTAAGGTGAATAATTTTCTCAACATCCTCAATGGATGAAATCAGCTATACAACCTTTGAACTTTACTTTCTCCATAAGGTAATTAATTTAATCATATATGAATTTTCGCCTAAACCTGATTTAGCTTGGAAATCTCAATCATGTGTTGTCTCAATTACCTCAGATAGAATTCGAATTAAAATGGAGTAGAGAAAAACATGAGTGGAAATGTCTAATGTGCACTACAATGCCAAGAGAGGAGGTGCTGCGACATTGTCATCTCTATTTGGGAGAATGAATTAGGGGGAGCGATGCGGCACTGGGTGGTGCTGTCGTGGCACTCAACTCTCGAGTTAAAGAATTTGTAGAGATATAAAATATTATATTTGAGCATAACGTACGGTGCTGCCTAAAATGATATATATTTCTTTAAATGTAAAATAACTTAATCCATTATAAACCCTCACCCAACCCTTCACTTGCTATAGAAGGGAAGGTGAGGAAGAGGAGAAAGAAGAGCGAGGGATTCAAAGGTCGAAGCTTGGGTATCATCCGTTAGGCTAATTGAGGATTTTGTAAAGCACAAGGCAAGCTTCTAAACACCTATTTCTAATTTTAATTTCAAGAGTTCTATAATAAGTATAGATAAAAATATGTTTTATACGATATCCTCACTGTGTAATTTTTTGTATATTATTGTATAATTTAATATGAATATTTTAACTATAAGAAGTCGAATTTTCACTAGTTGATTTTCTTTGTGATGATTTCTATGTGTATAGAACTTTGCTTTCCCTACTTAGCCGACGACCTTCTGAGGTGATATGATATCGTTGTTGTTTTATTTGATAACATAAATGGAGAATTTTCAAATACCTCACTTTTATCTTTAATTACTATTTTTGAATAACTTTTTTATCTTTCTAAGTTGTGCGCTATTCTTTTTTTTTTTTTTTTTTTTTTGAAAGTGAATGGTTTCTAAAACTGTATTTTTTTATTAGAATTCATTGTAGAACAATTTGTCTATCTCTCAAAATAGTATTTTATTCTCAATGTCATATTTAATTACGAGAATAGGAGCATCCCGAATCTATGTGGACTTTAAACATAAGAAATTTATTTTTTGACAATTAACCTGCTGATGATATCAACATTTAAGGAAAACTTTTATGAATTACTTATGGCAACACTCATAGCTCATCAAACATCTTGTGTAAAGACTTATAAATGAGTTGGGTGACTTGGGTCTTTTTTGCCTTATTATTGGCTCAATTCTTTTAACTATCACAGTTCTCTAACTAGTGAAATATTTTATGCATGCTCGACTCAATCATTATCGAGCCTAACACTAGTAAAACACGAAGTCAATTTCCATTAAACCCAAAAAGCCCTTGGTCCAAAATCAATTTATGAGAAATTTTCAAATCCATCAAAACTCTATAAAATGACATTGGATTCATGATCATTAAGTTGCATATTGATTAGGTATATCTCTGAGTCAACCATATCAATTTGGATGCATTTTAAGCATCCAAACCCTCAAAACAAAATTAATTTTCAAAGGATTCAAAACCTTTAAATATTTACAGCTTTTGTCACTGGACCATGCACGTGATAATTCATTTTTTTTTTTGAAATACTTTTTTAAATGAAAATCTAAATTTCAATGTCATGCCTTGTTGAAGAAGAGGGACAAGGTTGTTCCAGACTTTTTCATTCGTCAATTTTATTCAGAGATTTCTTTTATTTGTTGTAAGTAACTCAAATCTCATTTAGTTTTCATATGTTATAATTTTTTATTATATAGAATTGATTATTTCTTATTGTATTTTGGTTGTGATATTTACATAAGCAAAAAAAGTTTGACTGTTAACACTATAAAATTAGTTAATTGTTAAAACATAATGCGTTGCGAAGGAGGGTGGACCAACATGTTTTTTCTTTAAAGATGATTGTGGTGTTATCCCAGTTATAGCCTGTAACAGATGACCACTTACGCCGACGGGCATATAGTATAAACTCTTTATTGATTTAATGAAGCATATGTTATGATAGTTGATTAAATGGAACAATGATAATTGATATGAATGATGAACAATTAGAAATCAGTTGGGGTAAAATATGTTGAAAACACTACGTTAAAGTTGGATATCTTGACTTGCTAAATCATACAATGTTGCACATGCATACATTGATAGATACATTAATATTATTAATAGTATTAGATTTGATAATACATAAACATAAAATGTATATGAATATATAAGATATATTTCTTTATTAATTTACTAAATTTTATACTAATTATTGATTTTTATATTGATTGTAATGATTCCCTACTTTTATTATTAGTCATTTTGAGTTTTATTGATAATATTTAATCATGCCAGCTATTGATTATTAAAAACAACAACGGAAGCTCAGCACACAAGAGAACCCAAGAAACCATGTGCAGATGGCGGCTCAGCACATGGGCGGTTATTATGTAACGAACTAAGCAAATGACAGCTCAGCTCTTGTAACCACAATGGTCTATAAATAGACACACATTGTAAACATTGAAGTTTGAATAATATTTTCACAGAAACAAAGCATTTGTTGTTTCTTGCTTTCTTGATAATTCTCTTTCTCTTGATTTTCTACAATTATATTAGACTGAGCATTTCATATTTATTCTTTAGTTATTATATTGAAAGCTTTAGTGAGTTTTAGATTACTGCTGGGCTTTTGAGGTTATTACGTGGATTTTAATGATTTCAGGTTAAGGGAAGGGTCATGATCGTGAGTAGTGATAATGATAAAGATTTTCAGGTTCTTCTTTAGATTTTGTTTATGTTGTTTATATTGATGATTTATAGAATATATGATATATTCTAAAAATAATAAATTGACAATTCTTCCAAATTTGATTATGGGGGTATTCAAATGCATCTTGTGAAAATTGACCAAAAGATGCATTGGAACACCCAAGAGTTGACTGTCAAAATCGAGTCACGGGTCAGCTTCAACCCGGAACAGATCCGACACTGTTCGACCCGAACAGAACCCGACCAATTTTTTGCAAACGGATCGGTTTTTTGGACCCGAACCCGACTCGCTTCGGATCCGGGTTAACTCGAACCCGACTCATTTTGGGTATGTTTTACTAATTTTTTTTATTTAATTTGATTTATTTAAACCTTAATTGAATTAAGGTAATATTTACTTTAATGAATTTAAAATAAAACAAGATTAATTCAATTTGAGCAATATTTTACTTATTATTTTTTGGAAATAGCATTTACTTATTCCATAATGGTCTTTTAAAATTCTTCTAAATTAATTAAAAATGGGTCAAACTAGGTGGATTTCGGGTTTCCGAATCAACTCTAATCCGACACGGTTTTACAAATGGGTCAAAATCCTTAACCCGAACGGCCGAACCTGACATGGTTTTGGTTCAGATTGACCAGAACCAAAAATTTTCTGGTTGGATTATGGTCAGATTTTTGGGTCATGTCAAATATTAACACCCCGAAGAGGATATAATGAATGAATTAAAAGAATACATAAGAAATATATATTACCTAAATTAACATAATAAACTAAAAGAAAAATGATAAATTAAGTCAATTTATATAATTGTAATAATTATTAGTAATTAAACTATGATAAATAAATTTAAATTTTAAAAAATATACACATATATATATGTTTGCAATATTTAGAGGCACATTTTCTATGCAGCGAGCGAGGCGAAAATCAAAGGTCTCAAGCGCTTCGCTGGACCGCTATGCAATCCATATGAGTGGATCGAATCACTCAGCCAACCTCTTCGAACGTCTCAGTTAATCGATCTTCTCGCGACAGAACTCCCTCGCTTTTTTTCTATCTCCAACTCTGCGCTCGCACCACAAAATCTCGCGGACATGGCATGCATAAGAAGCAGCTTTCTCCTGCGAGGTTTCTTCCTCGCCTCCCCGATACCGAGAATCAGCCGTATAAACCTTAGATTGCCTCCGTTGCCAGCCGATATTTCGCACAGCCGAATCCGCTGCGTTGCTTCGGAGTCAGGCGAGGGAGGGCATAAGGTGTCTGCCCGCCTCTCGATGATGCAGCAGGTTTTGCAGGAAGCCGAGGAGCGGGCTAGCTACGCCGGCTCCGAGACTGCACCAAAGGTAACCCTAGGTCAGTTGAGCAATAGACTCAATCATGTCTTCTTTTCTTGCATTCAAGTTTTTTTTCTGATCTTAATTCTAACCTGTAATCGGACTAGTGGATACTATGTTTATGCCTCTTGTTGACGCCTATGATATTTTTGATCTAGCATCTCCATGGGTCTAATAAATGGTTTCGGATATCTATACTGAAAAAGGGTTGTTGCGGTCTAGAATATACGCGGCGATAGAGTAATAATTCTAAGTCTTACCGTTGCATGACTATCCGGCTCACGCACAGAGAACACAATATTTTTTACATAAAAAAACACGGGAAAGGGAAAAAATCACGGGGCCTAGCCTAGTTGAAAATGATTCAACTAGAATTTGAGCAAAATATAATGGTCTGACTCGTCCTTTAAAACGATCAGATTACAAATGTCAACTGAAAATTTTGCAAAAGTCCAGTGTCACTCCAACTTCAGGTGGTGGTTCGACAGCACTTTGGTGTCAGGCGGTGGTCCAACAGTGGCACTTCAGCATCAGAGGGCGCTCCGGCTTCAAGTGTCACTTCGACATCCTTTGATAGTCTGGTGGTGATTCGACAGAACTGCGACTTCCCTTGGTGGTTCGGCGATGGTGCGACAGAACTCCGACGGAGGTGCGGCAGAACTCCGACGGTGGTCGAAGAGGAGCTAGGCGGCTGGAGCTTTCTTCCTTCTCTTCTTTCTTCTCTCTTGACTTCCTCACTCTTTCAAGAGGAAATGAGGTTCTATTTATAGAATTATCGAGTGGCATAACTTGTAAATAAATGAAAGATCAAGGGTAAATTGGGAGTGATTCAGATGGACGGTCGATCTTGATTCATACGATCATGCACCATTCAATGGACCTTTGACTGTCTTAATGATATCAGAATTTGATGATCTTGGGCTTGTTGGATTCGTCTCGTCGAGCCGCTCGATTCGACTATAAGCATGTCACGATTGGAGACCATTTGTAACCCAAATTGTGGTTTGATCCTTCCAAAAGTGCTTCGAGTCTTTGATTTAGCTCATTTGGGCTCGGATTGGGTCGATTTTGGTGTTGTTGGGTTCGTGTTTCCGAGATGCTCAGTTCGACTGTAAGTTTGCAGAAATCAGAGTTCAGATAGTCTCAATTTTAATTTTTGAAGCTCCCAATTTGATTTTGCCTCAAGATTCGTACATGATCAAGATAATTTTTTGATGATGTATCAAGGGTGATAACTGATAATTAGTCCTAAATGGAGGGGATGAATAAGATAAAATTCTATGGATGGAAACGGCTTCTATCTCAGTTGTAAAGAATATGCACAGCATGAGATTTTTGACTGTGAAGGAGCTACAAATAGTTAGTCCAGCTTTTATGGCTGTGAATGGTAGGTAGATCTTGTACTTGCACTCACTTTCAAAGTACTGAAAACAATGTAAGAAGAGGGACCAATGTTGAACCTTTTTAAACCAAAAATCTTGATCCTATTATAAATGACCAACCCCTTAGTATTTCTACATCAATTTATTTTTCAACTGTCCTATGTGTGAGTAAATCAAACACTCTTGCTTGCCTTCACAATCTCTGTGTCATGCTAGAGTTTTGTGTGTCAGTCCTACAATGAAAGCTTTTCCAAATCTTTGAGAATCATGCACTAAGAGGACTTAATCACGTGTTGCTTGCATGGGAGTTATATTCTATTATCTCGAACCTTGCTTGATCATTTTAGAAGCTTACCATGCTTTTGAGAGTAGCAAATCGTATGAAAATTTGATTCCAACTTAGTTTTTTAATTTGATATGCTTCTTAGATAATACGAATCAAATGTAGATCATAATTGGTTTTGATAAATTAGTGTTCATGCATAGTTGCCTACTTTAAATTAAAAATCTTAATTCTATGTGAGAGTACTCATTTATTATTTTACGTTGGCGTATTTTTCAACTGTTTGATGTATGGCTACACCCAACAATCTTGCATCACAATCTCCCTTATGTTAGAATCAACAATCATTCCCTCATAAATGGGAACTTTTATGTGTATCTAAGAATTGCGCACCAAAAGTTTATTCAACTACGTGGTGCATGCTATTAAGACCCATAGGAGTATTGAGTTTAGTCTCACATCGGATGGTTTAAAATATGTTTGTATAGAAATATTGAATGATTGATCCTAAACTTTTGTTTGAAGTGATTTGACCATTGGCATGTACGGCCTTACTTTTGTCTTCCTTTGATTCACACACCCTTACAAGTGCCTTACTACTTGCGCCTAGCCATTTTAGGGATTGCCCAGCTATCATACCTCCCTATTATATACAAGCTTACTCAACTATCCATCGACTTAAGCACCATCGCCATCATAGATTCCCTCGGAAATTTTTTGTTCTCATAGCAAAACTTAGTTGGCTATCTCAAACAGTTGTTCACTATCGACCAACTCTCTTCACTAAGTTCCATTGCTAATCATTTTCTGTGTTCATTTAGCTATCGCTAACTGATTTTTCATCAGCCAAGCTCAACTGAATGAAATATCCTTTGCCAGCTTCCTTTGTGACCACCTCGTTGTTGTCGAGAAATAACTGATAACCTCAAACATTGTTGTTAGCTACATTAGGAAGTGCCTACCTTATCCTTCGGCCATTACTTTGATATCCTTTTATAAGCATCTTGGTAGTTGGTTCAAACAATTTATTGAGATATTGATGGCTTAATTATATGCAATTTTGGAATAGACTTTGATTGAATTTAAACTTGAAAGTTGCTCAAATTTAATCACAAATCTTGGTAATAGACTTTGAATTTAGATTTGATCCCAACAAATTTATTTTAGATCTATCCAAATTGTATACATAACTTTTCTAAAGATTTTCAAATTCAATATTTGAAAATTTATTGAGTGAAATAAGCTCCATTGCTTAACACTTGTATGAGAGTCATCTACTTTTGAATCTTGGCTGACTATGCTAGAAGCTCGTTTAACTATGAGAGCCACAAAAGGCATGAAACATTAGATCCCCGTCAAATGTTTGCTTTGAGAGTGTGAATCAAAGGCAACCGAAGCTAGCCTATATTACTCTAAGTCTCTAACTGTCAAATTAGTTTTCAACTTAAAAGTTTAACTCTACGGGAGGATCATTCATTTGGTATTCCTACACTAATATAATTTTAAATTATTTAATATAGATAAAATTTAATATTCTCGCATGTTTTCACAATCTACCCTCATGTGAGAGTTCTACACATGGACCATCACTCTCATCATATAGAATTTTTTATCATCATTGAGAATCATGCACTATGTGCTTGTTCAACCACATGATTCCTGTATGAGAACCATTGTTCTTAAGCTTTACTCGACCATGATAGAAGCTCGTTAGATCCTTAGGACCACAAACCATTGGATCCTTAACAAATCTTTTGCTTTTATTCCACTTATTAGGTGGTGTGACCGTGTGAATTAAAAGCGCCAAAGTTGGGCTTGACTCATGAATGGTCAAATCCTTTTTTAACTCATAAGCATGAACTTACAGGAGAGAGCTAGCTACTTGATTTCTTTACATCATTATATATTTTTTAATTGTCTAACGTGGTCTAAACACAATACTCTTACTTGTTTTAACTTTTAATATGTTGGACTTATTAATTGAAGCTAAGATAGTGAGCTACTCATGGGAAGACAAATCTAGTTAGCTAAACACATCATAACTTGAATTAAGGGTTGGTACTTTTTAGAAATATGACTTTGGGGATCAAAGATAATTCCAGAGGAAGAGTAAAAAGGAAGGAGTTATTTATGTTTGAGTTATTTATATATATTTGGCATGGTGAATTCAAGAGCAAAACTAAATAAAATGAAGGTGCAAAGCAAGCACCAGCAATGTTAACAATGCCACTTGTTCAAAAAATTGCTGAGTGGCTCAATTTGTGCATTAGGGGGAACCAAAATTCATTCCGGCTGCATATTCACATCTCAAATCAGTTTCAGATATTCCATTCTCCAGGACTCTTAAAAGATTTAATTTTTCATGATTCCAAATAACTGCTATTTTGTTTTTAGATTGCTTTGTCAATTTGTTGAGTATTATGACATAGAGAAACGGCATTCTGTTGTGAATGAACGCTTTCACGATATGTTCACAGGACCATACTTGTGAGAGCGCTAGGTAACACTTCATGTTTTTCTAACATTTTCATTTCTATGATTCTGCAGATCACGTCACTGTTAATTTTGCGAGAAGTGGCGGACCTGGTGGTCAGAATGTTAATAAAGGTTTCAGAATCATCTAATGATTTTGTTGTAATGGAATGTTGTTGCCAGCAAGCTTTTAAAACTTGATTTTGGTTTCTTTTTTTATTCTAATCACTATTGTTTCACTTTTGGGGTCAGTTACTTTCTTGCTGCTAAATATTTTTTAAATATATATAGGAATTGAGCAAAGAGGATTATCTAATTGGGTTACAAGTTACAATGCATGAAATTTGTTAGGACCTCATCAATAGAATTCTAGTAGAGTTTTGATGACTGCTTGAGAGTATCAGTAAAATTACAGTAAAAGTATGAGTTTTTATTGAAATTCTTGAGTTTTGTTTGAACATTTACTGCCAACCGTAACTGAAAATATTAACTAATTTCTAATTGGTTTCAACAGAAATTTATTTTGAGGCCATCAAAACTGAACCAGAATCATTGAATTTGAAAAAGTTGATTGTCACTTCTAATGGTGGCCCTTGTTCACTGCTAATAAGATGTTGATTTCCTGTAACGTCATATTTCTGTAAAGCATCGCTCTTCTCGCTCCTGTACATTTTCCATATGATTTTCTTTCTAAAATTTTCCACTGTGTCCTTCTTCCAAGTGATTTATTTGTTAGTTGATGTACTTATGATGATAACATGATTGCAATTGAGTCAAATTAAATTTTTTGCAACCTTTAATGTACCGTTCTAGTTGGTATTGTGTTAGACCGGTCCAGCGGGCCGGCTCTCGTTTACCGAAGGCGGAAACGAGCGGAACAGGAGGCGGAAGCGGCAGGGAGGAAAATAGGTGGGGTCCATTGAAATTCAAATTGTTCTTGGAGCCAAAAGGAGGGGAAGTGAGGGTAATTAAGTCCTTTTGTATCAATTTTGAATTGTATGCATTAAGTAGAGAGTAAAGGGGAGGATTAGGGTTATGTGTTATTATCTTGAAGTTTCTCTTGTTCTTCTTGTTGATTTGGGCTCTATATCGTATTCTAGAGATCGGGAGAGTGCGATCCTCCTCTCGAATAGAGGATCCTTGTATCTTTGCTATTTTCCTTGCATCTATTAGTAAAATACAAGTCTTTTATCCGTGTTTCCTGCAGTTTTTCTTTGTTTTTCCTCAGTTTTGGGCTGTTTAACTGCTGTGGACAGCAGTTGTTCTTGAGATTTGTTGCAAAAGTGATTAGGAAATACTTGAAATCAAGTATTTCCTATCAAATTGATTGCAATTGAATCAAATTAAATTTTTTGCAACCAGCATTCCGTTCTAATTGGCAGTGGTTACACATCGAAGCTTTTTGTGGCAATTCGTGTAGAATTGTTCTTAGTTTGATAAGTAGAACTTGAATTAGTTCCATTAGTTTGGATTTTTTTCTTTACTTGCCTTTCCCATGGTAATTTTCGATGGGTGTACGGTAAATAGGTAGGATAAAGCGAGGAATGACTATTAAAGAAAGTGTGAGGATAATTTCTATTTAAATTGTAAATGAAATAGTTTTCAGATGGTTTCATTCTTGAGGTAAGAAAATCCATGAAGGCAGAAGATAGAAATGTTAATGGCCTTTGAAGAAAGGACTTGGATCAAAACTTTACATTCTTTGATGTCTAAATCGTTGGAATGAAATGATTGCTACTGCTTTAGATGGCGCTGGCAATGATGATTTATTTTCTTTTACGTGACTGATGGAGCTTGCAAATTTTAAGTTCTCAGCAAATGCCTTTTAGTCTCTTTACTAGCTTTCTATTTCCTCTTTGCAGTGAATACTAAGGTTGACATGCGTTTCAATGTCCAGAAAGCTCATTGGTTAAGTGAAAGAGTCAGGGAGAGAATACTTCAAACGGTTAATTGACCAAACTTGTATTCTGTGGCTTTGGTTTAGTTTTTGATACAAGTTAGAAGCAGTGTCTTCATCTCCACATTCTGGGTTGACTGACGGACAATTTCCTTTAAAAAAATCACAGGAAAAGAATCGTATTAACAAGGATGGGGATCTTGTTATTTCTTCAACAAAAACCAGAACACAAAAGTGAACTTCAAAATACTTCTGTTTCATTTCTTTTTAACTTTATTCATGATTGAAACGAGTTGTCAATTTGATTTTTTCCCCAATGTTATTCATCCAGGGGCAATATCGAAGATGCTCTGACAAAACTGCAGGTTGTGCTGTGATTTTGGTCTTCATCGTATTCATCTTCTTCCTAGTTCTATTTATGTAACTATTACAGCTGTTCTATACGATTGGTAGTTCAAGTTGTTCATGCTTAATGTGTTTGTTCAACAGGAAATTATTGATTCTGCATCTTATGTCCCACCACCACCATCAGAAGAGCAAAAGAAACGGATCCAAAAACTGTATGTCACACAGTATTTATCTTCCATAATAAAGAGAAAAGGATTTTTGTTGGTCATAGTATTTTGACAGTCGCTGTTAGGGCATCTCCAACCAAAAAATTCATTTTCCATTCCAAAATGCAGTCATTCTTCTCCAATTGAATGCCATTTATTGTTCTTTCGTGTGCTTCCTGCGAAGGTAATCATCTTTGGTGCGCTTTTCTCCTCTTACGCATGCTTCTTCGACAAATCCAACAACGAATTTTTTTTATGTAGGTGAATAGTCTGATGCCAATATTGGCGTTGCACTGTTCACCTACCGGAATTTGATGTGCGATTTGGAGTTCGAATGAAGCAGTTGGCGGACAACATACAGTGATATGGAGTTTGTTTGAAGATGTTCCTTAGCAGTTGCTTATGATCCTGAACATATTGAATTTACATGTGTAATATCCACTTAGATAAGCAAAAACTTGTTATTTATGTGCATTCAAGTATTGGAAAATTTATTTTAGAAACTGACTAGGAATAAAAATTTATTTATTTATTTATTATTATTATTATTTTTATTATTTTATTTTGACTAGCAATCAAAAATAGTTTTATCATGTTTGTGATATTAGGGCTGCCATAGAAGAGCAGAAGAGGATGCAAAACAAGAGGGCTCTTTCACAGAAGAAGGCAATTAGGAGGACCAGAGATAGCTGGGATTGACTGGAAGGTGATTTTCTCATCATATTTTTCAACCTATTAAAGTTCCAATCCTTTATATTTTTAGGCTGTGTTTATATGATGGAAAATTGAGTGAAAGGAAATGAAAAAAAGAGTGAAAAACTAAAATCAATGGCTGCAGATTCACAATCAACCTTCAATTTTTTTGAATTTACTTCATTCCCTTCACCTTCTTTCAATCCATCAAAGCCTTGAAGACTAGCAAACTTGAAGTTGAACTGCTGCACACTGGAAATCCCCTTTTTATGGATCTTTCTCACCACTGTGCTAAACATATTTCCATATCTTTAGACTTCGTTTGGGATGGCTTTCTTACTGTTTCTTAAAGCTGCTAGAAAGCTACTTTAAGAAGAGTAAGACAGCTTCCCCAAACGAAGCCTTAATGTCTTTTTTTATTCTCTTTCAATTTTGATATAAAACAAAGGAATGATACTTGGTAGAGTTTCAAAAGCTTCTAGATCATTTCTAAAACTCATTTAATATTAAGATAATTTATTTTGTAAATTATTTGCAATATGTTTAAAGCTGAACCAGAGGTGCTATAATTGTGAAAGAATAGTAGTTTTATTTTCAGTTATTCTGCAATCATACACAATGTATCATTATATATAAGTAATTTTTAGTCAATTTTTATTCCAGCAGGTGCTTATGATTGAATTCTGCACATATGCTTCATAACACAAATAGGTATTTTGTTCGGTCAATCATCAGGATTTTATAAACCCAAAACCATCATATTGGAAGATTCTCGCTAGTGATGGTCTTTTTATTCTGCATTGCCTGGGTTTCCTTAGTTCATGTATTTTATTTAGGCTGCGTGGTTTGATAAAATTTTGCTATAAAGTATTGTAATAAAATTAAGCTTTTGTTTGAGACAGCTTTTTTATTGCTTTTTGAACCAACTTTCTAGTACAAAATTTTAAATTTTTATATTAAAAAGTTGCTTCAAGAAGTAATAAAAAAGCTGCCCCAAACAAAGCTCAAGTCAATTTTGATATTTTTGCCTGCTGGACCTTTATTTCTATGTGGATGTGTTCAACCTTTCATTCTTTTGATATATTTTTTATGTTGAATGCTTAAATTGTTGTAGCTTTAGGCTTCGTGTGGGACGATTTTTTTGTTGCTTCTTAAAGCAGCTTTTTAGTACTTAAATTAAAATTTTTATACTAAAAAGCTGCTTTAAGAAGCAACAAGAAAGTCGTCTCAAACGAAGTCTCACTGTAATCAACTAATATAGTGTGGCTGCAGCTGGTGGATTGAACCCTGTGAATATCCAGAGAACCTATTTGATTAGTAATTCTTAGAACTGAGCAAAATATTTCACCTTTACAATTTTACTTATAAATTTCTGCTATTACTCTTGGTTTAGCCTGAAGCCCAATGATTTATATTAGGAGGTAGCATTATTCATGTATATCCAAATGCTGCCCAGACACATAAATTTTGAAGTAGATAACTCAGTGTTGTGGTTAGTTCAATGTTGTATTTCCAAACATGCTTATATGTCTTTAATGAATTAGACCGTTAAATATATGATTAAGGTTTTGTTTGGGATAATTTTTTTACTGTTTTCTAAGACAATTTTGTTGTATAAAAATTGTTGAACAAAAAATTTTTGTACTAAAAAACTGTTTTAAAAATAATAAGAAAACTGTCCCAAACGAACCCTAAGTCGTATTTCTTTATTACTAATTCAAATCTAAACTTTACTAATCTGTATTGAATCCAAACCTTTCATAATTTTGACCTTCGTATCAAAATACATTTGCTTGATAAAAACATGCCTCACTAGCCCCTCCTTCCTATGATGAATTATTCTGTGCGGACATCATACGGGGAGAACCGTCCGGTTTGTTTATGTGAGCAGTGAACTGCGCTTTTACTGTTCACAGAGACAAAGCCGGACGGTTCTTCTCGTCCGGTGTCCGCACAGAATAATCTCTCCCTTTCTGTCTCCCTTTCTGTGTGAAGCGCCTCTTCTCATCAGCCATCCTTCATATTTCAAGCCATTATCTTTGCTAGAAGCCATGGAGATCCAGTCTGAGGAAACTGGAGTAGCAGGTATTAGCATTCCTTGTGACAGGTGTTCTTGACTAATAAAAGGTTTTTATGAAGAAGGCAAGGTGTCAGACATCAATTTAAATTATTGATGATCACACAAATTTGTTTATATAATAATGGGTTAATTTAGCATTTTAATTTTGTATTCCATTTGTAAAATTATGAATAAGTGGGTACTTTTTTAATTTATTTGCTTTGGTGATTGAAATTACTATAATTTTTTAAGGCTTCATTTGAGATGGTTTTTTTGATACTTTATAAAGTTTCTCTAAAATATATCACATTAAATAATACTAAATTATACTAGAAATATTTGTAATATACAATTAAATAATAAATAATAACAATGTTGGAATTGTAACCAATTCTTTTTGAAAGTAGAAAGGGTTACCAAACCAATCTTTGAATATTGTAAAATAGAATATATAATTTTATTCATTTAGTTATTCCTCTCATCGTTACAAGTTCTAAATATGCTCTAACTTTGCATATTTTCACTTATGATTGAACTTAGCTAAAATAAGAAGATTGAGGAGCCGTTTGTTTTGTTGAAAAAATATGCAAAATAAAAGAAACACAGTATAAATTAAATATAATTAAGGGGAAATGTGAAAGATTTTGTTTTTGTTTGATATGAAGTAAAATAAATTTAATGTAAATTGGGGGTGATGGTAGTTGGTCATGGAAGTGACAATGGCTTGCCATGGTGGTGGTGGTGTCGACGATGCGATGGAAGCCGTAACAATTGGGTGATGTTATTAGTACTTGGTGGAGGTGGGTTAGCGGTTGATGATGGTGGGGCAACAGGTTGTGGCAGCTGAGGGTGGAGAGTGAAGCTTCATGCGAATAATGTGTTTGGACCTCACTCAAATCAGGTGATTTACAAATATATTGAAAAGTAACCCATTCAAAATACATCAATAAATTACTTTGCATTCATTTTTCATTCGATTAGATAACAAAATGTCCAAAACTCCACCATTCATTTTGCTTTTATTATTTTTTTAGCAAATCAAACAACCCATTGAGCAATCAAACTCAATTGCATGGATTCCCATGCTATGGGTATACATCAACTACAAAAGAAATCGACCTGAGTTCATTAGTAGTTAGTGCCATATGGTGGATGGTAGGTGTAGGGATTGGAAACATTGAATGTGGAGGAGATGATTAAGGCTTTGTTTGGGATGGCTTTTTTACTGCTTCTTAAAGTGGATTTTTAGTACAAAAAAATTAATTTTTGTATTAAAAAGCCGCTTTAAGAAGCAGGAAGAAAGCTGTCCCAAACGAAGCCTAAGTTTGTGGAAGGGAAAGCACATAAGCATTGTCACTTTTGCTCCAGTTATGAGAAAGGGGCTTAGCTTGCTAGGCATGAGTTTGGAGTAAGTCATGTGAGGTTATCTTTCTTTGTGCAAGAATGCACCGACAGAGAACATAATTGGCATCACATTCAAAGATCTAAATTAAAAGAATTGACTATTTTATATTTAATTAAACTACCATAGTTTCTGTAAAGTCAATCAATATAAAATTAGTACGATATAAGCAATTAAGAATTATATACAACAAATGCTATTACTATATATATATATTCATCAAAATCTGATTTATAATAGCCAAGAGATCATCCAATACATTGATCTATTTTTCAGCCCCAGCTACAAAAGAATAAAAGGAAATACATGACAAAATTAAAACCTGTAAAGACCTATTAGTCTCACTTTGCCTGATCCTAACCCTTTCTTAGACTTGAAATCAAAATTATATAATGAGTTTAAAAAGCTCAGCAAACAATTAATTCTTACAAGTGAATTCAACAAAAGACAAAATAATCAATATATATGACCAGTCTAAAATAATATTGATTGTTATTCTATTAGCATGAATAATAATAAATCTATGCATAAACATCAATCAATCTATGGAGTCAATACTAACCACTAGTTAACCTATATGATCAATAAAATCAAAGTGTCTCAGTAAATATAAGAAATTTATCAACATACAAGAGAACCGGTAAAAAGTCTATCAATCAATAACAAATGTTGTGAGTAAAATATACCTCGTGCTGATGGTTCTAGTATTGATCATTATGCTATGTGTTGATATATCATATTAGTATGTTTATATATATATATATATAAGTATGTTGTATTTGTATCTATCAATGGTCTATGCCTTATGCTATTTTATGTTATATCAATTTCAATACCAATTAAAGAAGTTCCATATCAAGTTTTTTTGTAAATCATTTCACATGGTTTTTATATAAATGCATGCAAATATGGATTTAATTTTGAATAGCAAGGCAAGATATCCAACTAGTTACACGATGTTTTCACTATATCTTGCATCAGTGTCAAGTGGTTATATTGTAAGAGTCATCACTCTTGCTCGTTGGCGTATCTTGTCCCCTTATGACTCCTTATCTTATTTCTTATATCTTGTATCAGGATTATACCATAATCCATAATTTAATGGAAAGCCTATCAGCTCACCCTCATGTTCATGGTATTTTATTCCATCCAACCTAAATCATTATAAAACTAGCCAACCTTTCTTGTAATGCACCAATTATCTTATATCAGTTATATCATTTTCTGTGTAATTTCATCAGCAAGTATGAAATACAATAATCCATGAAATGCTATAAATTCTTCTTCATTTATATATTTTCATAAGCTTTAGAAAATCATTTATATTAATTCACATGGTTAAACTAAACAACATTATAGTCAAAATACTCATAAGAATCATATCTATCATATACAAAAGTTATGCGGTAGAAGATTGATAAACCAAGACAAAATATAGTTTTATCAATTTTAGAAGGATTAAAATCATAAAACACAAAATCATTGAAAATAAGGATATGATTCGGGTTATCTATTAGAATTAGAAGAAATTTTAAAATTGAAGCGTTAGATGAAAAAACCGCGAACAACTTTCTCTCTTCCTCCTCTCTTTTCCTTTCTTCCCTTCACGGCCAAGCCAAATCAAAATGGGAAGGGTGGAGCAAATGATAGTGATATTTAGATTAAAATATTATATAAACTCATTTTAGCGCCTGGCCTCACGAAGCTTATGTAACTTAGCGTTGTAGCACTGCATGTAATACAACAATGCACCGCCAACAACGCAGCCGTGTCGAATAAATTTCAAAATTCCAGAGAGCTCGGAGCCTGAGCGCCGCGCTACCCAACATCGCAATGCTCCCACATACAAATTGCTGAAATTTTTGGATATTCAAATTATTCAAATTAGGGCTATTACAATTGGTGATGTATTGTGCGGAGATGGGGCAATCTTGGAGGGAGATTAGTTGGACACATATTCATGAATTTCTCCAGCAAGGTGTGAGCATGTACTCAGGCAAGTTTGGAGCTCCCACATAAGCTTCTACAATAACTAAAGCAAGAAGAGAGTGGGTTTTCTTTACAAGTTACCATTACATCAGATCTTGATATAAGAGAAAATGCAGAGGCTTCACATGAGCTGTGACAAGCCAAGTGCTAGCATATATATGGACATAAGTCTGATTTGCTTTCCCTTCTATTCAAATGAATGCACATTGGCTCGACAATCACATATGATTCCCATACCAAAGTGTGAGGGGTGACGGCCTAAAATGACGTAGCATACATTCATATCAATGACACTGCGCAAAACTTCACGTTGCAGATTGAAAATGTGACTTGGCACATGTTCGCAACTAGTATTCAACGTCTTTTTGCACTCACATTAAGGCCTTATTTGAGACGATTTTATTGCTACTTAAAGCAGCTATTTAAAAAATTGCTTTATGAAGCAACAAGAAAGCTGTACCAAATAAAACCTAAATCTTGATATACTTTCTTTTCATTGCAATCTCTAGTTCTTGTTTGTTTTGCTGCATGGTTTTATTACACCAACATAGAAAGTATGATTATTGTTGCGTCCTGGAATATTCACGGCGGTAGAGAAATATATAGTTTAACGTCTTAGCGTTGTACGAAGATCCAGCACACAATCA